GGTAAGGAAAAATGTGAATATCTATACTATATAGATGAGCCCCTGAAGCAACAAGTCTTATTAGTATGTTAATATGGGAGGGGCCAAGAGGTTCAGACTTGAAGATGGATCCTAGTTTCTCCAGGGAAACTGCTTTTGCTAGATATAGGACACATCTTCTTGGTCTGTGGGAAATACCTCATTCTGAGATTTATAACATTAGGGTGCCATGAGTTTTGGGGGAGTAACACTGAGGAAAAACAAATATTTAATTTTCCTTGTTCCGCCTTCCTTTTAAAAGTGGCCAAAAAGTTTGATCCTTTATCCTGGTGGCCTGTGACTATCTCAGGATCACACTTTGATCAAGCCTGCTTTTCAGATAGTGTTAATAACAGAAGAGAATTTCTTCTGGGTCATCTGAAAATTTAAAGGTTAATGTTAAAGAGATGAATTTTTGCTACATACTCTCAATTTTTAGTTCACAGTTTCAGGAAAAGGAGTAAAACAAAGTCCATGAAGTTAACAGTGTTTCCCATCAGTGAGCAGATAAGGTTTGCCAGGTAGTCAGGATCTAGAAACTCTTAGCTTTAGTGTGTGTATCTCCTTTTTTGTAAGTCCGTTTTCCCCGTCCTGATCTTAAAGTCCCCCATCATCTGAATTTGCCTTACCTATTGACTTTTCCTTCCCATTCATTGCCTTCTGTTCCTATTGGTCAGTCTTTGTTTTCTCATGAATAAGCTGTACTTAATTTTTAAAGTACATTAAACTACAGAGCATATAAAAATTGACTGTATTTTAATAGGACTTCTCTGTTAAAGTTAAACTATGCTGTTGGGGCAGTGATTTAATCAGCAAGCATTTATTAAATGTCTTCTTATGGTAGGCACTTACTAGATACATAGAAAAAAGCGACACGATTTGCTCTCAGAGAATTTTTGTTTTTCTGTCTTGGAGACTTGGATATATGTCTAAGTATGCAAGTATATTATACGAGAATACAATGTAAATAATGTAAGAATAAATGCAGAGTAACTAGGGAAGGAGAAAACTAGCAGTTGGATTCAAGAAAGAATTCATCTAGAAAATAGACTTGGCTTTAGCCAAGTTTGAGTCTTGAAGGAAGTAAGGGATTCTCTGAAGTGAAAGTGAGGTTAGACTGAATGCCAAGCAAAGGGAGTGGCCAGTGCACAAGCATGGAGCTGAGAATATATTACGTGTGAGAAGTCAGAGAAGGCCACTTTGGTGACCAGAATGTGAAGGGCTTTAAAAATCAAGCAAGTTCATATTTTATCCTAGAAGCAATACTGAAATACATTGAATAGGGGAGTAATGTGATCAAATCTACTCTTAAGGAAAGATAACATTCTGCAGACAGATGAAATGTCTCATGTCCTATATATTCTTGAATAATGATCAAAATGGGAAATTAAAACATCCCTCTCTATCTTAATATGACCATAGTTTGAGTATTTCTCCTTGGTGAAATACTAACAGGATCTATTTGAGATATAGAGTATTTCTTGTAGCAAGCGTATTTTTTGGTCACCAGACAGAATCCTAGAAGCCTAAAGCTGAAAGAGGACTTTTAGTCTCATTTTATTGTTTGATGGCTGAATCCCTGCTACAGTATTCTTAAAGTGGTTGTCTCACTTACACTTGAATACTTGCAATGATATAAACTCACATGAGTGTATTCCTTTCTATTTTTAGTCCTCACCAGTTGGGGGTGAAAGTAACAGTATCATAAAAGGATTTCAGAGTCAGTCTGCAGTTTTGCTTCATAAACTTGTGAGAAGCAGGAAAATGAGCATTTGACTGGGAGTTGGAGATACATTTTTCTTTTTTAAATGTCATTAGTTATAATACTGCAAGTCATTTAAATTCTAAACCTGTTTCCTCCATAAAATGAGGAGGTTGTGCTACATGCCATGGTGCTATATTTTCATATGAATTATAAAGATAATAGTTTGATTTGATATTGAAAAACTCTGAATCTTTCATATTTGGTATACTGTTCAAGACTTGGGTAAATTTTGGCAAACTGTCCCAGCCTTGAGATTGTACAGACATTAGTGTCATTGTTTTTGCCTATAAAAGAGGAATACACAATAGACTTAGGACATACTCAAAGGGAGAGGGCCTCTTGTCCTACACAGGTCTCCAGATGGCCTGTATCCTTTCTTTACTCTCTTTTCTTCCCCATCTTCACCAGTAAAGCTGGTTATGTATTTTGTGAAGTATGCTTGCCCAGGGTAGCCTTTTTATGAGATACTTCTGAAAATGTTTTCACTAACAATGAATGATAGCCTTGGAAAAATCATTATTTTCCTTCAAACCCTTTGGACAAAAATTGAAATGAATTTGAGAAAGTCAGCATGTAGCTGACTGTTGGAGCTAGATCTGTCTTTATGAGTTTCAGTGGCTGTCTCTTACCATAGGATAAGGATGGACCAAGTAAGTGATCGCCTTTAGCAAAAATATTAGGTTTTTACTCTGTAGAGATTAGGGAGACACAGAATGTGGATAAGATGGAATTTGGTATAGGAGAGGACACTGACAGGTAACCGATACATGTTATTACATGGTGACAGGGCATTAATTCTTGCATGTCTAGCTGTGTGTTTGGAGAAGCTCATTAGGAAGGTGGGATCAGAGTGATTTAATTCGTAAAGGATTTTGCAATAAGGTATTTTTAAGAGTTGAAAAATGGAATGTGATGCAAAATCTTCATGGAGAAAATAGCATTTGGGTTGGATATGTTCAAGAAGTGAAGAAAGGGAAGTGATAAAATCATACTGTGAACAAATGAGCCGAGTACAGTATGATCGAGAAGCAGGCTATCATCCATTTTGATTAGAGTTTGGCGGATGAAATGAGATAAGCTTGGAAAAGGTAGGGAACCAGATTCTGAGGGGCTGTTGTTCAATAAACAGATTTTTGCTCAGAAGTGTAACGTGACTAGCTCGACTAATGTTTCATGTGTAGATCTACACACTTCTTCTTCAGAAGAAGTTCATATTGGGAGGAAGGATGTATTGGTTTGGGAGTGTGTTGAATGGAAAATAAATGTAGAGATATGGGTAAATGCAAGGAACAACCAAGGTTATTATTGCCTTAACCTGTAGAAAGCCAAAGAGTGAAATGGTAATGCTTTTGATAAATAGTATGTTTATGGTGGTATACTGTTCCTAAAACATAGGCTGTGTTTTGTAGAGCCTGCTGTGTGAGGTCCATGGTATGGAGTCATCATGGCATATGAGTTGGAAAGTGATGTCTCTCTAAAATCACAGGTGACTAGGAGAAGAGGAGAAAAGAGAACATTGGCTAGGATTTATAGGACAATGACCATACAATAGAAATATCTAAGTTGGACAAATTGTTATATCATTAAAGCATAATTATTTTGTAAGTAATTTTGTAAAAACATAAAAGAAAGGGACTCCTGAATGTTTGACATTTTATTTTGAGATACGGTCTTGATCTTAACTGTTGAATCACTTCTTTGTCAGTTCAAAAGACTAGTTGGTCAAGTCTTTGGGAAGGGAGAGCATTTTAGAAAATATTGTAAGTTTCAGCAAAGAGTGTCATCAGTAATGTGGAGGATATCTATTAACTATATTGAGTAGGCTCCAGTAAACTATTGAGGCCTGAAATATGAAGAACCTAAATTGTGTGGTTTGATAGTGGAATGAAGCTGATACACACGAAAGAAGTTAAAAGCAAGAGGTCAAATGAAACATAAATGATGTTGAATTTGATGAGAGGGTTTAGAGAAGAAAGCTTAGGGATTTGAAAGAATGTGAAAGGGCTCTGTTAAGTACAGGGTACTAACTAGCCAAATTCTTGGGTGTCTGATTAGATATTACAGTTTTGTGGTTCTGTTCTCGAGCATTCATAAGCTCCTTGCTTTTTACTTCCCTTTCCTGTTTTATTCTTCTCATCTCCCCTTCTTCCCCCCCACCCCCCAGTTCCTACCCTATGTTGATGAAATTCACATTGGAGACAGTTGGGGCTTTCAGAACTGGGGTGTGGCTGGGTTATATATTGGATTTGTATACCTTTTTTTCCCCCTCTAGTAAGTCATCACTGCTGCAGAGGGAAATGTGTTATAGAAAGCAATGTAAAAGTTCTGAACTCAAGGGTCGGATTTATATGACAGGGAGAAAAGTGTGGTGGTACCTCTGAGTGGAAAATGGCATTTCATACTTGAGGAATAATAACCTTCAAAAGGTAGCCAGGAAGATGATGAAATGGTGTACTAATGAAATTTCTGGTGACTCTTAAGGTGTATCTGATTGAACCCAGGATGATTACATTCAGAGTTACTTCCATAGCAGATTTATTTACCTTTAGTAGTGTTTTCCCTAGTTCTTAACCTTCCTCTGTCTTCATGGTTTCTGCCTTATATACAGTCCCCAAAGAAAAATATGCTTGATTCACCACCACTGTCATTCCCCTACCCTCTTCTTCCAGCATATTGTGTGGCTTTGTCAAGTTAAGTTCAGCATTCTGTGTAGTGTAGCTAGAGATTGTTTTCAGAAGGTGGAATTTAATAGGGTTACCATTTCTCTAGGTCTGGCGGCAGTGTTCATCTATGTTTTCTCCATACCACATCTGTTGTAGTAGAATTGATCTGGGTCAGGTCCAATGCAACTGCTCTAATCTCTCATATTAAAGCTGGTTTTTCTCCCCCCTGAAATTGAAGGCTAGGATGCTTTCCATGGCTAGGGCAGTTCCATGCAAGTCACAGTTGGGAAAAAGTAGGATATTTTTTCTTCAAAGAAATGCTGAAGGTATGATATGAAAGTGTTTAATCTCATTGAGAAATTAAGAGAGGATTAGTAGAAAATTGAAATCAGTTAAGTTAAATTGGGTATGTAAAATGACGAAAGAATTGAACCTAAAATACTGGATTTATCGACTTTTCTCTAGGACCTAGCCTCCTGTCATACTTGACTCACTTTGGGATGGTTTGAACTAAATTGGTTGCATACTTCCAACTGTTACTAACTTGATTTCAGGGGCCCTCCTCGTCAAAGACAGCCTAGAGAGGAAGGTAACGAAGAAGACAAAGAGAACCAAGGAGATGAGACCCAGGGTCAGCAGCCACCTCAACGTCGGTACCGCCGTAACTTCAATTACCGACGCAGACGCCCAGAGAACCCTAAACCACAAGATGGCAAAGAGACAAAAGCAGCCGAACCACCAGCTGAGAATACGTCCGCTCCCGAGGCTGAGCAGGGCGGGGCTGAGTAAATGCCGGCTTACCATCTCTACCATCATCCGGGTAATTGTTTTGGTGCTTCTGGAAATCTGAGCATAGCAAAGAACCAACCTTGCAAATTGAGTTGGCTCCATTTTTGAAGTTTGGTCAGGTAGTCTCCTATGTAGTTTCCCTCAGTATATTAGATTTTGATTTTAAATAATTTGTGTTGCTTAAAAAATTAAGAAAAGCATTTACTATTCTATTTGTAAAGCTGATGAGATACTAAAGCTTAGTAATTCCTATTTTTTTGTTTTTGTGTATGCTGATGGGAGACCCAGTTGCTAATTTGGATAGCAAGACATGACTTTAAGGAAAATGTTAAAACTGTGAGTGTATGGTTCCTTGAAGTACCTTACGCACCATGGATTCTGTGGGGTTGCATCTTTCCATTGTTTTGTTGCCTTACCGTGGATCTGGTTGTACTGTTGGTGAAATGGTGACCTGGGTGACTTTGTCGCTGTAATATCCCTTGAAAACAGCATTCTAAAGGGGATTTTACTGCTTCATTCTCTTCTCATTATAAATGGGGAAATAAGGCATTTGGTCTGGTGAGAAAGGTGACCTAGCATGATGTGTGGGCCTCCATTTTTGCCATGAACTTATCCTCTGAGGCTACTCTTAAAAAGATTGTTCTCTAGTGGAGAGAACATTGTGGAGCAAAGGCATTAGGAAACAAATGACCTGCAGCTTTCTCTTAGAGGATGTTCAGATAACAGTCTAAGGTGCGATTGGGCTGGGATGAGGGGTGGACTTTATCAGTGTGATGTTCTCAGAGGCCTGCATAATCTGACATTTGTTTCTTCTTTTCTAGTTTAGTCATCATACAAGAAGAAAGAATATGAAATTCCAGCAATAATAAGAAATGAACAAAAGATTGGAACGGAAGACCTAAGTGCTTGCTTTTTGCTGTTGACCAGATAACTAGAACTCTCTGCATAATCTATGCAGCATGGGGTTTTTATTATTTTTACCTAAAGAAGTCTCTTTTTGGGAATGACAAACATGTTTTTTAAAAAGCCTGGTTTTCTCAATACACCTTTAAAGGTTTTTAAATTGTTTCATATCTGGTCAAGTTGAGATTTTTAAGAACCTCATTTTTAATTTGTATAAAAGTACACCTGATTTTTTCAAAAATCCACAAACTGCAAGCACCTGTTAATAAAGGTCTTTAAATAATTCTCTGTCCATGTCTCTGGCTTCTTCTAATGGTGTTGATGCAGTTGTTCACAGTTTATGTGTTGGCTGTATCAAGTTGTGTGGCAAATGGCTCCTTCAGGCCATTGCTCAGGCGTAGGAGGTCTTACCCTGGTAAAATTCTTAAATATTTTGATAACTCTATTTTAATATAATTGCTTTCTTTTGTAATTCCATTTATTTTATGCACTTAAAAACATTCTGAGACAGGTGTGTGGGGGGTGCAGAGGGAGGGAGGGTCTCCCTGACACAGCTACTCTTTTCAGTCTTGCTTTTTTCCCTATGGAATAATGATAATTGATCCACCAACATATTGAAATCTATCAATGATATTGGAAAATGACTGGTCAACACAAAATTGTATAAGGAATCATATTTTTTCAAATAGTTGTTTGGGGGGGCAGCTAGGTGGTGTAGTGGATAGAGCACTGGCCCTAAAGTGAGGAGGACCTGAGGTCAAATCCGGCCTCAGACCAAACACTTGACACTTATTAGCTGTGTGACCCTGTGCAAGTCACTTAACCCCAATTGCCTTAAAAAAAAAAGTTTGGGGTGGGGGGAAATCTGAGGATCAGTTTTTTTTAATAACCCGAGTCCCCAAAGTCTGTAAACCATGCAGAGAGAGAGAGAGATCTTACTCATTTTTGATTAGTCTGGGTTTTGGTGTCCACGTTTTTTGTTCAGTCATTTCAGTTGTGTTCTACTCTGGGGCTTTGTTGGCGAGGATACTGGAGTGATTTGCTGTTTCTGTCTTCAGCTTATTTTGTAGGTGAGGTAACTTGAGGTAGACACAGTTAAGTGACTTGCCCAGGGGTCACACAGCTATTAAGTGTCTGAGTCCTAATTTGTACTCCAGTCTAGTCCAGTGTTCTATCCACTGCACCACCTAACTGCCTCTAACCTTGGTAGTTAAGTGTATATCTTTTCCTACACTGTGTCTGGATCCTCATCATGTTGTTGATAGAATACATCGGAGAACGCCAGTAAGATGGAGTTTCATCCGATGACTGCTGATGGCTTTGAGTAGTATTTTAAATAACGTTGAAATTCAAAAAATGGAATCACAAAATGAATTGAATCTCAGTCCTTACACCTCTCCTTCACCCCCTGTCCTAAAGCAAAGTCATTTTGTATGACTTATGGGTGGCAAAAGCATACTGTAAATAGCCAGTAAGCCTTTAGCCTATATGGTGGTCAAAGAAAATTTAATTTAATCATGGTTAATAGAAGCATGGTGTTCTGCGTGAGAGGAGATAATCTCTTCCTTACGTCAGAAGCATTCAGTTTTAGGTGCTGTGATTTAGGGAGGCCATCTGGAGGTGAGTGACCCAGGATAAGGGGAATGATTGGTTATGGGAGGACTGGGGGGAAGGAAAGGACATAATCACTATCTTCAAATCTATTTGAAGGACTGTCTTAAAGAGAAATTGAATTATGTTATTTTGGTGCGGAAAGAGTTTCAGGAGCAGATAGGACCCATGTCAGGTGATGAGTTCCCCATTGCTAGATGACCACTGTCAGGTATAAAGGATATTGTGGCTCAAGTATTGGTTGGACTAGACCTGATTGAGGTTCCAACCTAATTCCATGATTTTACAACTAGATTTGTAATTTCCAGCTCCAGTATTCTGTGACTGAATCTTACCATTTGCACGTAATGGCTTCTTTGTGCATTTTCTTTTCATTGCATCTAAAGTTGTTTGTTTTTCATTATGGTGGGGCTGCAAGAGGCACATTGGAAGAAACTCTTTTACCTATCTGTATTGTTGGTAGCAGTAAAAATACTTAGAAAACTTCAAGGCCTCAGTGGTTGCTTTAAGAGTTAGAGGAGGGGCATCTAGGTGGCACAGTAGATAGAGCATCAGCCCTGGAGTCAAGAGGACCTGAGTTCAAATGTGACCTCGTTAACATTCACTAGCTGCGTGGCCCTGGGCAAGTCATTTAACCTCAATTGCCTCACCAAAAAAAAAAAAAAATTGGAGAGGGAGGGTTCCTAGGATGATTTTCTGTTCTATGTGAGACCAAAGGAGGGAAGGAGAGAAATCCTGATCAGTGGAAAATTTGGATAGCAGCTAAGTCATTGGAAGAGTTAAAGGTGACTGACTGCTGGAGGCCACACTCTCCATTAACATGGAGCTAGGGGATTGTCCCAATTCCGAGGGCTTATTCCTAATGTCCCACGGTGAACACACTGGACCTGCCAACAGCTCAATGGATAGCTGTCTTGAAATGTCCACCATGTGATTTCTAAGAATGTTTTCTATAGGGAAATGCAACCTTGGTTCCAAATCAGCCAGACACCTGTTGGATTGTGTGGAGGTAGTATGGTGAAGTGGAGAGAATGCTGGATTTTGCATCAGGAATTCTAGGTTCATTTCTGCCACTTTCTGCCATGTATGACTTGTGTCACTTGCAGGTGACACAGTGGCTAAAATGCTGGGCCGGAGTCATGAAGACCTGAGTTCAAATATAGTCTCACTCATTCACTTTGTGACCTTGGGCAAGTCAATTTCTGTTTGCTTCAATTTCCTCATCTATAAAATGGGGATAATGGCACCTATCTCCCAAGGGCTGCAAGGATGAAATGAGATATTTGGAAAATGCTTAACACAGTGCCTGGCATGTGGTAGGCAACATGCAAATGTTAGCTGTGAGTGGTAATCTGGGTCTCTAAAATGGTGGTAATGCTTGGACTGCTGACCACACGAGGTGGTTGTGAGGAGAGCACTTTATGATGCATGAGATATTTTTTTTTCCTTTTGTTGATAGGAAACAAGTTTTCCATGGTTTCTCAGACTTCTGCCTTCACACTGACTGGTTGACTGGTCTTGGGAATGGGAATGACATGCGTGCTTAACCATTTTGAGTATATACCAAGGTGGTCTGCAGGGTCCTGTCATGGAGAACAAGTTCAGTTTATAAAAATGAAGCATCTACAATGGGCAAGGCTTTCGAAGGCCTTAACGCAGTAATACCACCAACCCTTAAAGGAATTGCTACAGAAGCTAATGGAGGAAGCCATGCCAATAATTCCTGGCACTGACCGTTTCCCCAAAAATCAGGTAGAGACAGTTCAACCTACTCAGTACCAAGCAGACTAACCTTATTTCCTTTTTTGATAAGGAAAAGACAGAGTGATGTGGGATAAATAATTGCCATTAAGCTAGCTTCATTACCATACATGGCCAGACAAGCATTTAATGCCCACTATGTGTGGTATCCAGATAAAAGTGAGACAGCCCCTGGCCTCCAGCCTGTTTTTTTACAAGAGTGGGACCATTATAACCAATAAGTGAAGTGGTCAGGGTGAAGGTGTGCACCACCCACTGTGACAATAATGAAGGACTTGGGTAGCACCTGAGCTCTGTTTAAAAGGGAGCTAGAGGGAGCCAGAGATTTTAAAAGGTGTCGGGAGGAACAGCGTTCTAGGCCTGGGGCAGGTGGGGCATGGGATGGTTTGTGTAATGCCAATGAAAGGACAGGATGCCTTAGTTATTCTATAGTGACACATAGGGGGAAACAAGTAGACTAGATTGGCTGGAGTATAGAGTATGGAATAAATGTAATGAGCCTTGTAAAGAAGGCTGGGACCAGATTGTTGTGAGCAGTAAATGTGCCAAACAGGCAGGTGCTTGTGTTTTTCCTTAGGGTGGAGAGACTGTGATTAGACCTCTGCTATAGAACTGTCCATTTGGTAGCAGCTAGAAGAGAATGTATTGGAGACATACTGAGGCAAACAAGTGAAGTGACTTACTCAGGGTCACACAGTGTCTGAGGCTAGATTTGAACTCTGGTCTTCCCAACTCCAGGCCCCAGCATTCTGTCCGCTGTGCCACCAGGCTGCCTCATTGAATATGGTCAAAGAATATGACCAAACAGTTCTTCAGAGAAGGATTATTAACTGTCATATGCAAGATTGCTCCAAATCATTAATAAGACAGATGCAAATAAAAATAACTCACCTCACACCCAGCAACTTGGCAAAAATAACAAAATATGGAAACAGTCCAGTGTTAGAGGGACTATGGCATAGGCATGCTGATACACACCATTGGTGGAACTGTGAGTGGTCCAAGGATTCCAGAATTACCCTTTTTTAAAAAAGTGACTAAACTTTCCATACTATTTGACTTTGAGATCCCACCACTAAGCATAAACCCAGAGGAGGTCAAAGACTGAAGAGAATATCCCAAATGTGCTAAAATATTCATAGCAATGCTGTGGTAGCAAAGAACTTAAAACAAAGTTAATGCCCATTGACTTGGTAACGATTTGACAAATTTTGGTACAGGAATATTAGTAATATTATTGTGCTTTAAATGATAAATAAGAAAATTTACAAAATCTTGGAAAAACATGAAGTTAGCTACTCTGATCAATATAATAATCCAAGACAATTCCAAAAGACTCAGAGTGAAAAAATGGATATAATCATCAGAGATTTGGTGTTCAGAGAAACCACTTGACCTTCAAGATAGTGTTGTGCCTCCATGGACAGCATCCTGCCACGTGAGAAAGGGGACCAGACTTCGCTGGGCCACCTGACCTCCTTATAACTGTACATTTGGTAGCAGCTAGAAGAGACTTGTGTTAGAGACATACTGAGGTTCTAAGGTTAGGTGACATGGATCCAGAGAGGATATTTCATGGCAAATAGGAAAAACTCATCATGAAGAGGGCAAGAGTGGTAATGAACTATATAACCAGGGACATGGTAAAATTTCTGGATAATACTCTTTGCTGCAGGAATTGATCTGTAGGGTCAAGATCTACAAGATCATAACATAGAAACTGTTTAGTAACAGAGTTCTAAATAGGTACCCTAGAATAGTGGTATCAAACTCATAGAAACAGATCCTTTCAGGCCATGTATGGACTTAGAAAACCACAAATTAACATTATCTATGTTGTATTATATTTTTAATGTATTTATAAAAAAATTTTAATCTGGTTCAGCGGCACTGTCTTAGTAGCTTTAATTCC